GGGAGATTATGTAAAGGTGCAAATTTCCAATGATGAATGTCATTATATTGTATACCTAAAATGTACCAATAAAATAAAATTTAAAAAAAAAAGAAAATACACTTAAGTAGTTACCTTTTGAAGCAGGTGGGGTAAAAAACCTATTCTGACTGTGAAAAGCACCTCGTCCTCCTCGGTTGCCTGAAAATCCACCGCGAGAAGAAATCTTCTGTGATACTTTGAGTGGCCGTTTTGGTGGAGGTATTCCATCTTGGGGGACCACTTCTTTACTTTCAGCTGCAACAAAGTCATCCACATGCATAGAAGGTGGTCTACTTGTGTTCTGTTTTCTCTGACGAAAAATATCATGGGGTCGTATGCCCTGTCCAAATCCTCCCCTGCCCCTTCCTCTTGGTGGTGGCACAACATGAGCACGTTTGGCAGGTTCAATGTATTCAGATTTTCCACTATTAAAACAAAAACACTCCATGAAAACATTTTTTTCTCATATTTCCAATAAAAATATAAGTCAACCTTTGCAATACTGAAAACTAGATTTCATTTTTTCGTATTCCAACTCTGTTAATTTTTTTTTTTTTTTTTTGGTACTGGGGATCCAACTCAGGACCTTGTGCTTTCAAGGCAGGTGGCAGAACCACTGAGCTAAATCCCCAGCCCTCAACTCTGTTAATTTTGCAAGTATCTATATTACTTTCTCATGTAACATAGTAAACTAGCTAAAAATATTTTTTGATATGACTAACACTTTTAAAAACAATCCAGTTCACTTATTGTTCAAACATTTCAAACTGTGATAACAAACAATGTAACAGTAGGTAGAGGTGGCTCAGTACAGTATGTGCTTAGCAAGCGTCCAGCCCTGGCTTCAATTCCTAGCCCCTTTTGTGTGTGTGTGCCTTTTGTGGAACTGGGATCAAATCCAGGGCCTCATCCATGCTAGGCAAGTGCTCTACCACTGAGCTACATCCCTAGCTGCCAAAATTATTATCTTAAAAAAAATCCAAACAACATTCATGATTCAAGTGCTGTTATCAACTTGCTTTTTTATCACTTATGTGTCTATCTTAAAATACATAAATAAGATCTTCCATGGAATAAATTTTACCTTGAAGTTATGAAGGTCTCATGCTTGTGTTTCCCAAGTTTAAATCCTTTAGTGGTCTTGGTTCTCCCTGGAGATGACGGTTCTGACAAAAACGAGCGCTCTAATTCTGAGTGCAGATCAAAGTCACTACAGCATTTTTCAGAAAGTTCAATCAAATCAACCTTTACCTACAGCCGTAAACATGAAACAAAATACACCTTAAATATAACTATTAATGTAACTTTTTTTTTGGTACCAGAGATCGAACTCAGGACCTTGCACTTGCAAGGCAGGTGGCAGAACCACTGAGCTAAATCCCCGTAACATTTGACAAAGAAATTTTTACTATTTATATATTACACTGAACTCCCACAGTAAATAAGTTATAGGTCTGCCTCTCTCCTTGACCTTTTCAGAAAGCAATGTCATTGGTAGTTAATAGCAACAACCACAACAATAACAAAAATCTTAAGAATACAACTACTTTTTATTTTTTGGATGTGCTCCTCCTCAAAGCAGGGCTGTAAATCTATAGAGGTCTAGCAGGGAACTCAGGCTTTCTCTGTTTAAATTAATACCGTAATACCACCAGAACACTTCCAAAACAGTCTGAATACAGGAGCCATTTCTATTATAAAAATATTCCATTCAACAGACTCCCCAAATTACTATGCATTTAATGAGGTTCCAACCTAAGGTTTTGGTTTTTTTAGTACTGAAGATTGAACTCAGGACCTTCTGTTTGCCAGGCAGGCAGGGTGCCAATGAGCTGCATCTCCAGCCCACAGACTACATTAAATTCTTTTCTGTTTTTTTGGAGACAGGGTCTCAGTATGTAATAAACTGGCCTTGGGCCCGTTACATAGTCCAAGCTGGCCTCAAACTCCTGATCCTCCTACCTCAGCATCCTGAACACAAGGATTACAGGTAAAGTGACAATCTCTTACCTATATTCTTACCCATTCAGCAATTAGTGTCAATTCTCAACCACATTACATACCAAGAACCATTAGATTGTATACTCTAAATAAGTGAATTGTGTGGACAGATGAATTATATTTCAATAAAGCTGGTTGCTGGTTTTTTTGTTTTGTTTTTTCCAGTACTGGGAATTGAACTCAGGACTTTGTGCTTGCGAGGCAGGCGTGGTGCCACTGAGCTAAATCCCCGGCCCTCCACACTACATTATAACAAATGCATTCTTTGTTAAGTTCTCAAACTGAGAGCAAGTATTAAACCATTTCTTTCCTTAAACCCAACTGCAAGAATAAACCATTATTTTGTGGGATATTTTTCTCTACTTTATACCCTTATGCCATACTTATGCAAAAATATGATCTGGCCTTAAAAGTCACATTCTGAAAATATAATTTACCAACAAGAAAAAAAGCAAAAGAAGAAGTAACATTAAAAAGAGTTCTGGGGCCAGGGATTTAGCTCAGTGGTTCCACCGCGTGCTGCACAAGCGCAAGGACCCAAGTTCAATCCCCAGTACCAAAAAAAAAAAAAAGAGTTCTGGATGCCATTAATTGGGTATATGACATAAAAATAATATTGCACTGGCCCCCAAGTGGACCTTAACAGCCATATAATATGTAAACTACTGTAATGCTAATAATATACAAAAGAAACAAACATAAAAATCAGTAACTTTTTTCTATAAGTATTTAGTAATAAAATCCTTTATACCAAATCCAGATCTGTATCGATCTCTTCAGCCTGAAATGGAGTGAACCACATAGATTTCAACTGATCATCCATGACGTCAGCAAGCACATATGCAGTCCTAGAATACAAAAAGTATTTAGTGAAAAGCAGAATCTTAAAATCAAATATTATAGCTTTTTATCCTCTAAGATATTATTAAAATTAGCACCTACAGACTCAAAAAGCTATTCAAGAATTAAGCATTCTTAAAAACCAGTAACTTAAATTGGGCATGCTGGCATAGGCCTGTAATCCCAGTACTCTGGGAGGCTGAGGCAGGAGGACTGTAAGTTTGAGCCCAGATCAGGCAACTTAGTGAGACCCTGCCTCAAAATAAAAATAAAAAAGGGCTGGGAATGTAGCTTATGGATTAAATCTCCAGTACTATGAAAAGCAAGCAAACAAAACATTAACTTGGAAAATAATCCTGCTGTAAAAAATTTTGACCTTTCTGTAAAATAAAATGGAGGCCTAGTTTTATTTCCTAAAAGGCAAGTTTAGTTTACTGAACTAATTTACACAGAAGCTACCTAAACGTGATTTTCTAAATATGAACACTTTCTTTTTTTAATTGGTACATTTACTGGTACATAATGATAACATTTATCATAGGGAATTGTTACCTGTACATGATGTATCTTGCTGCTTCTTTTTTTCCTCACTCCCCTCACCTCTCAACCTTTCTTCCCCTCCTTATTTATAAAAGCTTTGTTTGCATTTTTTCCCTTCTATTCTTTTTTCTCTTATCCCTTCCTTCCTTTCCCCCTTCTCCCTCCCTTGTTCCCCTTTTCATTTGAACATTCTCTCCCATTTCCTATTATCTATTATACATTTTGGTCCTTATATACACTTTTGATTTCTCACACCAGGGAAACAATGCAGGAATATGCACACTAATTCTGTCACTGTAAATGGTCATTAGGATGTTAGTGCTCCAAAGATTAACAGATCCATATCCTCTAAACCAGGAATGAGTAAAGCCTGGCCTGTTTTGTCAGCCTATTTTTGTACTATCTGCATGCTAGGAAAGGTTAATACATTTTTAAAGTTTGAAAAAAACCCACAAAATCAACAAAACTACAGAAGGCTATGCACAGAGATTGCATGGGGCCTGCAAAGCCTAGATTTTTACTGTCTCACCCTTTACAGGAAGAAGTTTGCTGATCCTCTCTGCTCCAGCCATTGAATTATAACATCCACCCAAACACAGACATAAGGGTTTTACCTATTGTTAAACAGATTCTGGAGAGATTCTGGGGCAGAAAGCACTGGTTCTACATCCTGGTCGCTGAGAGGTAAAGGGTCACCTGACGATTCCAGCATTTGCTTAAGGCCAACTACACTGTCCAACAGAGAATCCAGATTGTCGTCATCTTTTGAATGTTCCTAGTCACAAACAAGAGCAGAATGAGAAGGTGAGGGTAAAACTTGAACACACATGCCTATAATCTACTGACTCTACCAGAAAAGGGTTATTTCACTATCAAAACTTTGGTACACCATTAAGCAGTGATCTTAAAAACTTAACATTAAACTTATTAAAATAAAATGAACACCCAAAACACTTGTCAATTTCTTTCTTTTGTGGAGCTGGGGATCACACGCTCAGCAAGCGTTCAACCACTAAGCTATAGCCCCAGCCTCCCACTTTACTTCTAAACAATGGCAGCAGGGGGTGGAATACATTCAAAGAATAGACAAGCACTGCCTTCATTTATTCCTTAAGATTCATAACACAAGGGAGGACTTCAATCCAAATTATTAATTCAAAGAGTTATTCAGAATGGTATAAATAAATACCCAAGGTTCACTATTTTAAAAAGTCACTATTATTAACTTGTCCAATCAAACTGAAGAAAATAAGCCTCAAGAATGCTGTTACTGTTTTCTTTCTGCTTTTGGTTTTTTGTGGGTTTGTTGTTGTTTTTTACCAAAACAAGCTTCTCTAGTTCAAGGAACAAATTTTCTGGACTTTCTTCTTTGCTCTGTAGAAGCTGTTTTAACTCTGCAGCATTAATACTCATCGTCCGTGATGGATGAGCTCCCTCTACTTCCATGAGACCACTATCATCTCCACAACATCCCTGTAAATGTCACACACAAGTTAAATTTGAGAGCAGAAAATTGGCAAAGAGGCTTCTCAATTTATACAGATATTTAAGTCATTTGCTGTAATCGTCCCTTCAATATATGGTTTTATATCGCTACAAGTGGATTTAGTTAGCTAAAGCTGAAAGATGTTCTGAGTAAAACCCACAAAATAAATGGGTAAATATACATTCAACTTACTGACACCAAAACTCCTCAAGACAAACATTCAAGGGGTGGTGGGAGGGGAAGGGGAAAGGAAAAATTATGAGAAAAGAAAACAAAAATGGAAACGAAATCTATGTAAATAGGAAAGGGTGGAGGGGGTGAAGGGCACACAAGTAATGGGGAAAAAAATAAGAACCAAGATACATCATGTATAGGTACAAGCACCCAATGATAAATGTAAATGTAATGTATACTTAAAATGTACCAATAAAAGACTTTTTTTTAAAAAGACAAACATTCAATGGCAAACACATTTGTACTTGTAGGTCATACAACACACTGAATGATGCTCAAGAATTAACATCTCCTACTACAGTAATCAGAAATTATATTATAGGACTTGGAGCCAGGCATTTAGCTCAGGGGCACCATGCCTGCCTGGCAAGTGCAAGGTCCTGAGTTCGATCTTCGGTACTGGGAAGGAAAAAAAAAAGAGGGAGGCCCAGATAGGTTGAGTAATGAATTCTACCAAACATTTAAGTTAAATTATATTTAACATTTAAGTTAAATTATAACCATTCTCTACAATCTCTTTGAGAAGACAGAAGCAAAGGTAAAGTTCCTTAACTCATTCTACAAGGCCAACAACAGCTAACATCTTACTTAATGCTAAGAAACTAGAAGCTTTCTCACTAAAGCAAGGATCGTGTCTCCTCTTTCCACTCCTTTCAACATGGTACTAAGAAGTGCTAGATAATGCAAAAAGACAAGAAAGAAAATAAAAGATACACAGATTGGAGATGGAAAAATCAAACTGTCTTATAACTTTAAGTTATGTATTTTGGGTGATAATTATATGTCAATGTGGGTAGCACTTGTGTAGAGGGAAAGGTTACATGAGAATTCTGTACTTTACAATTTTGCTGTGAACCTAAAATTGCATTTTAAAAAACACATTTAAAAGGGGATGGGGATGGAAGTGGTGAGGCTGAGGCAAAAGGATTACATCATGAGAACTACATAGTGAGACCCTGTCTCAACCCCTCTCCCACAAAAAGGGAGGTGAGGAACAGTATGGAAGCCAAAAAGATCACTAACATTTATTGATATACATTAAAATATTTTTTGAGCAAAGATAATACTATGAATTCCTTGCATCTTTATAAATAGTTTTTTGACCAAAATGAAATGTCTTTTAAATTCTAATCCACTTGCTTATAATTAAAAGTAGTCTTAGGCCAGGCATGGTGGTGTACTCCTGTCATCCCAGCACTTGGAAGGCTGAGACAGGAGGACTGCTGCTAGTTCAAGGCCAGGCTGGGGTACACAGTGAGTTCAAGGCCAGCTTGAACTACAGAGTGAGACTCTGTCTCAAAAAACTAAAAATAAAAAAATTAAAAGTAATCTTAGAAAATCTAGAGTTGCCGAGGATTTAGCTCAGTGATTCCACCACCTGCCCCACAAGTGCAAGGACCTGAGTTCAACCCCCGGTACAAAAACGAAAAAGAAAATCTAGAGTCAAATTTAGCATATTTTCAGGTCTTCTGTATATGCATTACTGTGTTAAAGAATAACACAGAATTTCTGAAAGATTTTTTTACTATAATCTTAAAACCACACTGTGCTTCAGTAAAGTGGAAATTCTATCAAATTTATGTGATATCATTTCAAATTACTCATTTGTAAAACACTTCGACTATTCAATGGCACAAGACATTATAAGACATTATGTAAGTACTCTGGGAAAAAGACTGTCCTGGTCTATGACTTAACTGAGCTAATATTCAGAAAGTGGGGTGGGACACGATAAATGATCTACAAAACAGAAATTCAAGGCCGGGGATTTAGCTCAGTGGCACCATGCTTGCCTTGCAACCGCAAGGTCCTAAATTCAATCCCCAGTACCGAAAAAGAAAATCAGAAATTCAAGTAACATGCTGTGAAAAGTAGAGAAAAAAAGGTAATCTCAAAAAACTTCATCAATTAGGATACATGAAAACTGATGATCAGATTATAGCTTGATCAAAAAAAGAAAGAGATACCAACACACTAAAAAACAACATGGCCACAAAAGAAAAAAAGTCCATGAGCTAGGAGTAGTTGCACAGGTCTGTATCTCTGCTACTGGAGAGGGGGAAGGAGGCCACCACTTTGAGGCCAGCCTGGGCAACTCAGTGAGATCCTGTCTCAAAAGAGAATTTGGGCTGGGGATTTAGCTCAATGGTTCCACCGCCTGCCTCACAAGCGCAAGGTCCCAAGTTCGATCCCCAGTACAAAAAAAAAAAAAGAAAATTTTACAGAGGGATGGGGAGGTGGCTCAGCACTGGAGTGCTTCCTGAGCAGGCTTGAGGCCTGTACTGGCTGGGGGAGTAGATGAGATTTATGGACAATGGCATAATGTAAAATGTTTTCTAAGGGAGGGATGATTGCAAATGTAGTTAGATTTTGAGTTTTTTTGGTTTTTAGGTTCGATAATAAATATTTTTCAATGCTATACTACAAAGTTTGGAATTCAAACATCAAAAGTTATTATAGGGTATAAAAATATAATCTGAAGTAGGTAGATAACTCACACAGAACTATTCACACATGAAAAAGCTGCATGGTGGCTCACGCCTGTAATTTCACCACACTGGGAGGCTGAAGCAGGATTGCAAATTTGAGCCTAGCTTGGATGACTTAGAAACCTAGCAAGAATCCATCTCAAAAAATAAAAAGGGCTGGAGATATAGCTCAGTGCAAAGGTCCTAGATTCAATATCCAGCACAGCAAAAAAAAAAAAAAAATACTATAAGTATCAGAGCAATAAATGTTTGGAAGGAAAGTGGAAAGATGATAAATACAGTACGCTGTAAACTAGTAAAGGCCTAAGAAGTAAATTTTTTAAATATAAATTCTGAAGTAGGAGACTATACTTACTAAAAATTCACTACAAGGCTCAACAGCATATTTGACTAGGGAGAGAATAAACTTGGAAATAAGAAAGAATCAGAATCTCTGAAGAGAGCTGGGCATGGTGACACACACCTGTAATCCCAGCACTGGGAATGCTGAGGCAGGAGGATCGCTGACAGTTTGAAGCCAGCCTGGGCTACATAGTGAATTCAGGGCCAGCCTGAACTACAAAGGGGATACCCTGCCTCAAAAAAACAATCAAACCAAAAAAACCTGAAGAAATAAATTTGAAAACTTTACAAATACAATACAATACATTAAGCAGTACATTATACTTCCAAGAAGCTCAACAAACTCTAGGCACAATAATCTTGTAGAGATCCACACTTAAACATATAATCAAAAGAGAGGTTGAAAAAAAAAAGGTAACACACATGTAAAATGAACGCTCAGTAAGACCAACGGCTGCTTTCTCATCAGAATCCATGAACCAAGAATGCAATGGGAAAATATAGTCAAAATGCTGAAAGAAGACTATCAACCAAAAATCATATAACTAGCAAAAATGAGGACAGCCAGCCTTAGTGGTACATGCCTATCATCCTAGCACTCAAAGGCGGAGGCAGGCAGATTATGAGTTCAAGGCCAGCCTGGGCTACATAGTGAGAGGCCAACCTGAACTACAAAAAAAGAGGGAGAAAAAGGAAATTAGGACAGAGAATTTGTCACTAGCAGACCAACACTACAAAAAATACTAAAGGGAGTATGTGACACTGAAATGAATGTACACTAGACAGTAATCTGAATCCACACAGAGAATTAAGTGCAGAAAGATCAACTACATAGCTGAATACAACAAATACTATAAAATATCTTTGTATCTCTTTCTCCTATTTGAATTAAAAGCTAACTAAAGTAAACCAATTAACTATAAAACTGGATGGATTCAACATATAAAAATGAAATTTATATGATAATAACAGCACAAAGGAAAGAAGGACCAGAAGAGATAGAACTACATAGTTTTATATACTACTGAAATTAAGCTGGTATCAACCTGAAGTAGAATTTTTAATTATAGTTCCCAGGATACTCCGAAAATAACTTTAAAAAAATTAGTAAACAAGGAAGTCAAGACAACACAATTTTAAAAAACCTGTTTAGGGCCGGGAATTTAGCTCAGTGGTTCCGCTGCCTGCCTTGCAAGCACAAGTACCCGAGTTCAATCCCCGGTACCAAAAAAAACACCAAAACACCAAAAACCTGTTTAAACAAAAGGCAAAATGAAGATAAAGAGAAAAAAAAATATATATATATATATATATATAGAAATGGCAAAAATCAGAAATCTTACCTTGCTAGTAATTAAATACAAATAAATTAAATTCACCAAAAGAAATTGGCAGAATGTAAAAAACAAAACATAATTCAACTATATCCCATATACAAGAGACACACTTTAGATTAAAAGACACAAGTGGCACCGGTACCAAAAAACAAACAAACTAAAAGACACAAGTGAGTTGGAAGTAAAAGAATAGAAAAAATACATGCCATATAGACAGTAAATAAAACAGCTGGATATAAGAAGACAACTAGATAAAGATTATTACTAAAGGAAGGGAACATTTTATAACAATAAAAGGCCCAAGAGGATGTAATAATCATGAATATATACACACCCAACAACAGAGCCTAGAGATACATGAAACAAAACAACTGACAGAATTAACAGGAGACAATTTAATGATAACTAGAAACTGCAGTACCCTGAAAATAAGCAAGGAATAGACGGCTTAAACAACTACAAACCAACTACTCCTTATAGACACTTACGGAACTTTCCACCAAACAGTCACAGAAAACACAATCTTTTGTGAACAGGAACATTCTTCAGGATTGATCATATGCTAACCAGTAGAGGTAAGGTTGAAATTTAAAAAGGCTACAATCAAACAAACTATACTCTGATCAGAATGGAGTGAAATGAGAAACCAGTAACAGAAGGAAATTTGAGGAATGCACATGTACATGAAAATTAAACACACTTCTAAAAAATCAGTGAGGGGCCAGGGATTAGCTCATCGGTTCCGCTGCCTGCCTCCACAAGCGCAAGGTCCCGAGTTCGATCCCTGGTACCAAAAAGAAAATCTAAAAAATCAGTGAGACAAAGAAGAAATCACATGGGAAATTAGAAAGTTCTGAACTAAACAAAAATAAAAACACAACATACCAGATCATACCACATCCATACCAAATTTTGAACTACACAAAAATAAAAACACAACATAACTAGGAAGAGCAGTGTCCATAGCAAAATATTTAACTAAATGCCTACACTACAATGGAAGAAAAGTTCAGGAACCTAATCTTCCACCTTAAGAAACTAGAAAAAAGAATGGCACCAAACTCAAAGCAAGAAGGAAATTATATAATTAAAGCAGAAATAAATGAAACAATACAACACAGAAAAAAGTTGTTTACAACAGTTTCCCCTATTGAAGACCCCCAGTAGATGCCTGAAACCACAGCTGGTAGTGAACCCTTAATAATATACTATATTATTTCTTATACATACATATCTATTACAAACTTTAATTTATAAACTGGCCACAAGAAGTTTAAAAATAATAAAGCAAAGGCCAGGGATTTAGCTCAGTGGTTCCGCCACCTGCCTCTCAAGCGCAAGGTCCCAAGTTTGATCCCTGGTACCAATAATAATAATAATAAAGCAATTACTGTATAGCAGCACACTTTAATAAAACTGCCAGCATCACTATTTTTCCACATGGGTGCCATTTTAAGTGCAGTAACTGGAATGCTCCACCAAAGCACTGCAATACTACAGCAGTCACTCTGACAGCCAAGAATACTAGTTAGAGACTAACTGGTGGGTAGCATGTTCAGTGTGGTTACACTGGACAAAGGGATGACTTGTTTTCTGCAGGATGGACCAGGACAAGGTGAGATTTCGTCACACTATGCAGAATGATGCACAACTTTTTTTTTTCAATTTATTAATTATTCGTTTTAATCATTTTCATCCTTATTTACACTTCCAGTTTCTCACACTAGAGATACTATTCGGTATTTACACGTGTGTCCTATTTATTTCACTTAAGAGTATGGCCTCAATATGCATCCATTTAGCTA